TGAATGGCATCTTCCATTTTCTTTTTTTTATTTAGTCAACAAAAATATTTTACTCATCAACTGTGCTTGCTTATATGGAATGAGCAATGGGAACACCCTGTAAAATAAAAGGCATGGTCCTCTTCTATATAGAGATCATGTATCCAGGATTCCCCTAGTACAAAGCTCTGTGCACTGAACTCAGCTTTCATTTCTCTTGTGAATAAAATAAGCTTTGGGCCTCTTTAAGTTCCATCAGCATAGCATTGACTTCAGGGGACACTTTCATGCACTGAGAGACTTGTCCTGTGGGTGCCTTCCTGAAATATTCATTGAGTTTCTGGCAAGTTTGATGTCATGATTTTGATGCAAATAAACTCACACCTGTCAATCATCAGAGCTTCTAGAGAACATAGTACTATCTTGGTGACAAGGAATCTTTCATTGGTCATCAAGGTCTTCCTTGCAATGTACATTTCTCCACGAGCTCCATGTTCTTGTGAACTGCCATCGCATTGATTTCAATGCTTAGGGAACTTGTGTACATTTTCCTAGAGGCGACTGGGGGATATTTCCTACAACACCACACTAGGACTCCTGAGCTCCTTGGTAGCTCTACCCATTTGTTTTCTCAGAGAAGCTAAGGAAGAATCTGAGGAGACTGGAAATCACAGTCACTGAGGTCCATGTGTCAGGAAGCCCGAGAAAATGTAATTTTAGCCCGTGAATGAAGGAAATCCGTCAGCTTCAAAAAGTTTATTTTGGTTTGCAGACACACCTTCCCAGATACCTGAACTTATTCTGTTGATTTTAGTTGTCCTTTAGCACCTGAGGACCCGGAGACCCTTTCCCTTTGTAACGTTACATGTGTGGTATGTCTAATTCCTTTCTACTTAGCTCTCTTAATGATACCTGTGTATGCTACTGTCCCTCTCCATCCTGATAGAAGTATTTCTGCCGGGGTCTGACCCCAACATAGTTGTCACGAGTTTTTGGTTCACGAGGAGGGGAGATCCAGCGGCGATAGGGATAGCGAAAGAATACACAGACAAACAGAAG